CAGTCTGTAACTCCCTCCCGGGGTATCTGTTATTCTGTATATAAACCACCCCGAACCCCTCGATTAGATTCCAGTCTGTAACTCCCTCCCACGGGATCTGGTCTCAATCGGCCTGCCTCTGTTTCTGTTTGCAGTGGTCCTGATTGGAGAGTCCGGGGTTGGAAAGAGCAATCTGCTTTCCCGTTTCACACGTAATGAGTTTAACCACGATAGCCGCACCACCATTGGCGTAGAGTTCTCGACGCGGAGCGTGCTGGTGGATGGCGTGACGGTGAAGACACAGATTTGGGATACCGCTGGTCTGGAACGCTACCGAGCAATCACTTCAGCGTACGTATTTCCCCCATCCTTTTGGAATTCCCAGAGCCTCCGACATTGCATGTAAATTCCCCGACAGAGTCGCAGGGAGTTCCGGAGATTATGGTCCGTGGTGGTTGGGCTACAGGGATCTGAGAGGAAATATACCTCCGAGGGCATTTCCCAGCCCCTGAACGGATTGTGCGTGGGCTAGCAGGCTTCGAGGGTTGCCCGAATGGCCTCCAGCTCTTCACGTTTACCTCCCACCGCCGATTGGCTGCTATCTCGCTGAACAGCAGAGGCCCCGACGGGCAGAATGGCCCTCCTCCTGACCCCTGACCTTGAACCCCATGAGGTGCCCCGTGATTGGTCGGGTATACATGAACTGACTGTTGGTTGGGATTGGGTCGCTGTGCGGTCCTGAAGTCTGGGGGTGGCTGTGTTGTTGTTTTATTCATGAATAGGTTAGGCCCACATTTATTACCCCATCCCCAATTGCCCAGAGGGCAGTTAAGAGTCAACCGTATTGCTGTGGGTCTGGAGTCACATGTAGGCCAGACCAGGTAAGGATGGCAGTTTCCTTCCCTGAAGGGCATCAGTGAAACAGATGGGTTTTTCCGACAATGAATTCATGGTCATCGCTAGACTTTTAATTCAATAAAATATCTGGAATTGATATTCCACCATCTGGTGTGGCTGGATTCACACCCAGGTCCCCTGTACATTATCTGGGTCTCCTGTATTAACAGTCCAGCGATAATACCACCAGGCCATCACCTCCCCTGATCGACAGGGCTGTGTTCTCGGCAAAATATCCGGGACTTCCGGGGGTAAGGAGTTAGTCATAGAGCCTTGGGAACCTGCTCTGCCCTTCTATCTGATCCTCAGTGATGGTAACACCATTGAACGCTAAGGGGGCGATGGTTAGACCCTCTCTTGTTGGAGATGGCCATCGCCTGGCACTTGCGTGGTGTGAATATAACTCAGCGGATTGCCAATTTGGTAAAGGCTCCTGAGGGAGGCATGGGCCGGTGTTTGGAGGGGGCGCTGGGGGTCGCGGTTGTCGGTGGGGAGGCCGTCCGAACTGATTCCTGTTTGCTTCAGGTATTACCGAGGGGCAGTTGGAGCCCTCTTGGTCTATGATATCTCCAAGCACCTGACCTACGAGAAGGTGGAGAGTTGGCTGAAGGAGCTCCTGGATCACGCTGATAATAACCTGGTGGTCATGTTGGTGGGGAACAAGATCGACCTCAATGATATCCGAGCTGTCCCTGTCGAAGAGGCCAAGTCGTTCGCAGGTTCCGTTCAGGGCTTCGTTGGTTGGGGGGGGGGGCGGGAGGGGGGGGGGGGGGGGGGTTAGCGGGGTGTGGAGGGTGGGTCACGAGGGCAATGGTTGTCAATACGCTGAGCCCTAGAGGTGGTGGGAGAAAGGTTGGGATTCGGGATGGATGGGGTGTTGGGGCGTCATGACGAACAGAGATGGAGCAGACGGAGGTGGGTGTGGAGGGAGTTGGGGGCGTTGGAGTTAGCAGGGGGTAGGCGGAGTACGAGGATGGAGTGGCCGGATCATTCCTCCTGTTCCCCACCCCCTCCCCCACACCTCTTGTGGTATTTGGCCAAACCCTCTATGACCCCGAGGTCCCTTGGCCATGAGGTTCTGATCAAGTCCCTCCCTCCCAGGCCTGAGGCCTGAGGCCTGAGGCCTTCCTTCCATCATTAACTGAGGTGGAGGTAGCCGGGGGGGCAGGGGGAGGCGTCAGAGATCAGGAATGGGGCCCATTATTCTGTCATAGGATGTGGTCAAATCCCCTCCCTAATTGCCCCCTTGATCTGACCACCGTCCTACAGGCTATTTTAGGGGGTAAATAAGAGGCAATCCCATCAGTGGGTGGGGGTCTGTAGTCATGTGTACCCCCAGCCCAGGGTAAGGGGTGGCAGATTTCCTTCCCCCATTGGTGACCACCGCCCCCCCGATGGGGGTAGTTTTTACCGCAGTCATTGTGCTAACCATTCCCGAGACCAGCTCCCAATTCCGGATGTGATTCACAGAATTTAAAATCCATGTGGGGCAGGCTGTGGTGGGATTCAAACCCGTGTTACCCCCCAGAACGTTGGTTTCTGGATGACAGGCCCAGTGACATTCCCACTAGGCCGTGTGTCTGTGTGAGTGTGTGTCTGTGCGTGCGCGTGTGTCTGTGCGTGTGTGTGTCTGTCTGTGTCTATGTGCG